TCAAGGACAACAAAATGTCACATCTGTTCCCATCTAAATAAAGAACACACACACATACCGTGCATATGTCTGTGTGTGTGTGCACATGTGTTTGTGTAATGTTTGAATTCAATTAGGAAGGGTCTGGTGAGTTCAAGAGTGTGGAGTCACGCTGGATTCCCAGCTTCATACATTGTGGCCTCAAATATTTAACATGAAATGAGTGGGGATGAGAGCCAGAGAAAATTTAGACAAGAGTAACATTACAAAGCTGCAAAAGAAATTCACATTTTAGAGTCAGACTTCAAACATTTGGGGTTTAGAGAAGTTACCGAGTGCTTCTTTAAAGGAAATTATTTGTTTTCACTTGTTTTCTACATAAGTGAGCAGTAACGCATTTTTAAAAATTGCCATGTTATTTGCACTAGCGGTTTATACAATTGATTGTTTGGGGAAACCTGTATAAATTCTTGAAGGATATTTACATGTGTGCTTATGTTGTTCTGACCTGTGGAATTTTTTTTAATTTTCATTTTTTAGAGGAGTAAAAAGGTAGATGTGATGTCTGATTAATGGCATATACACATGCAAGATGCTAATCAGCCATTAAGATTTCTTATTGTATAATTGAAATCTGACAGCACGTGTATCTGTGTAATCTTTTGGAAGTTTAGCTAGCTATGTTCTGTTGCTGTGATATCAACTTTTTTTCCCTTCAATTTGCCTGTGAGGAAGCATTTGCTCAAAATTATGATCTGATTGCACACTTTTCAAAGATGAGCTCTATAAATTCTCTAGACAATGTCAAAGCTGTCAATGGGGGCACAGCACAGCACAGTGGGTCGTAACTGCTTCACCTTTAAGAAAAGAAAAAAAAACCCATACAAAAACAAAAAACTTACACCTGGGACATAAGCATATGACAAAAAATAAAAGATGTTTTATTCAACATGTGTCTGTCCAACAATATTAAGGTCTGCCTGCCAGCGCCTCTTAGACTTATTAACTATAATTGAATTATTGTTTAATCCAGTGATGTCAAACATGTACCACACCAAAGGTCCCACTGGGTGACTTTGCAAAGTGTAAAAATTGCAGAGTGGCAAAAATTTGTTATTTTGTTAAAAATTGATTGTGTCATGAGTGATTGCGCAAAGTGCTGTAGTCTGATCTAGACATTTGAATCACCCTCATGATTATAGCCTTTCAAATTAACAATACATAGCCAATACATAACCTAATGAAAGTAGTTTGATCAAGCAGAAGCAAAACAAAATAAGTATCATGCTATACTGCTGGAATTGGTCTACATTGCTGAGCTTTTTCTGAAACCAGATAACCTGGGAGTGACATCACTTACGAGTTCCGACAGCCAAGTTCCCAGGCATCTGTAATATGTGAATTATACTACTGAATTAGATCTACATCATAACTTTTAACCCTACACCACAACCTTCTATGTAACCTGACTTGCACCTCCCAAGAAATGTAACTACACATCAGGTTGACGCATGCCATAACGACATGAATGGTGTGAGAGGGATGTAGGGACAAAAAGAGTTTCTGGTTACTACGTAAGTTGGGACGTAGATCTCTTGCAGAAGTCTAAATCAAGCTCAACTTGGGATGCTGTGACGCTTAAACCGGAAGTGCCCAACCGGAAGTACTCAGTACTCAGGCACATATTTCCATCCCAGAGACTGACAGACACCACGAAACTGCACTTTCAAGGACATGGTTCATGTCATGGTTATATATAAATAGCAATTTCCCCCCCTCTCTCTCTCTCTCTCACTCTCACACACACACATCCATACAGTATGTATCGAGACAGAATAAAAATGTTTTCCTTCCTTAAAACATTATCTTTCCGTCTTTGGATTCCACCCACCACATAGGTATTAATGGTAAATGGCCTGCATTTGTATAGCGCTTTTCTGGTCCCTAAGGACCCCAAAGCGCTTCACACTACATTCAATCATTCACCCATTCACACACACATTCACACACTGGCGATGGCAAGCTACATTGTAGCCACAGCTGCCCTGGGGCGCACTGACAGAGGCGATTAATATTGTCATGTTTGAACTATTTCTCAACAGCAGCTTCATCCTGGCAGCGTGCTCACACAGGGCAGTGTCTCAACAGGCCACATTCAGTCGGTGATTTCCATTTATTGATCCTTATCTGGTTACAAGCTTTAATTTTTCTTATAATCCCGTCACGGTCTTTCTGTCTCTGAAAGAGGAGTTCAACTTTGTGGTCAGCTAAGGGGGCTAACAAAAAAAAAAGACAAATAAACTGTAGATCACATCATTTGTTAATTTGCGGAGAAAACAGGTGAGCGCATTTTCTTGCAACGTGCGCGGACACAAGAAAATGCTTATGATGAGCATTTCAGGACATGGCTGCTGATTTGGACTGTGCCAGAATACGTGATGACCTTTGAACCTGGTTATGAAAGCTATAAAAGACCAAAGTCCAGAAAGGAAAAAAAACTATGGCTTAATTTCACTGCTCTGCAGCTGGTGGAAGAATAGTCTAAAGTAAGCTTTTCTCTGCTAAGGAGACGCGATGTCCGACACCTTGTCCTGAGACGGGAGTGCGCATGACGCAGGTGTTCGCTGAAGTTTTCAGCCGTGAGAGCTGCGCACACCTCCGCAGACCGAAGGAGCACGGAAGGCGCTGTAACCAGATCCCGAGTCTGTTATTTCACCTGCCCGTGCTGTTTCTAAACACATGCATGTCTTTTGAGGTCGATCGGGAAGGATGAAGAGCGTTTTTCTTCGCTACGTTTTTCTCTGGGTGACGTTACAAATGATTGCTGTACCTGCCACAGGTGAGTCGCTGACTTCGGGATACCACACCGATACGATAGAGACGATGGGAAGGTATGACGCCGAGTGAAAGATAAACAACAGCACGCAGGTATAATCCACAAGCTGAAAGCTGGCAGTGGCATTTTAGATCCAGAGTAGGAAAACATAACTTTTTAAAAAATCGAATTGTGGGCGGAAAGCGCGTTTTAAAAAAATTCTTACAATGAGTTCAATGTTTTGTTTTGTTTTAATGTGTTGAGTTGTTTCGCAGGCATTTCATGAGTAGAAGACCAGAATCATTTCCACATGCAGTCTGGTTTGAACAAGCTGTCACACGGATGGCGTGTTCCGGGGAATTTAGTGGTTTATTGCATAACAATGTTTTATTACTTTTTAATTTAGGAAAGAAAAACAATATAATCAGTATAATTATCTATAATAATCATAACGGTTTCTAAAGGCTGTCTGCAATGTCACTATAAAACACAGAGTTTTATTTCTTTTTAGGAAACCTTTAATCAACTAAAAAAAACTTTTGAATACTAGTACTCAAAACATTCAGTGTAATAGTACTAAGTGCTTGCTCTCCATCATAGTTGAGACATAAATATTGTATTTGTACACCTATAGATAAGTTAATGGCTTTCAAATGAAATAAGATGCAATGATGTAACCAATAGTGTGATTCTGATAAGGGGCTTTTCCCCTTGTATGATGAAATCCAGGTGGCTTTAACTGGACTAAAGTTGTTTTTGAGCCTTGCTGTGGAACAAATTATTATTTTTAGTGATATTTAAATTCACCAAGCAATGGAAATGTATGACACCAGCCAACGTGGATGTCAGCCATGTTGAAGAAACTAATGCAAGCTTTAAGTGTCTTGACTGCCCACTCTATAGAGCCAGGAGAAGTGTGGGCGTTTTTAAAAATTGATGGGTTTTGGAGCTTTTCCTTTCTGCTGCACTTCTGATGCTGCTGGAAAGAGTCTGTCTGACTCCTGACCTGCAGCCAACAAATCCAAACTTTAGACAAAGTTAAAGAAAAATAACAGTTGGAAAAATGGTAAATCAAACAAACACATTCATAAAACTGTAAAGAAAAAACAAAGTCAAACAAACGGGTAAACTCCATGTTCTCATAGTTCAACATAATCAGTATAATATTAGTACATGTCTGTGCTTTAGGAATATTTAGCCTGATTGTGCTGTTGGCCATCACACTGAGAAAAGTAGATGCAGAGGTTGTTGAGGTACTAAAATGGGCCATTTTAACCCGTTGCTAGGTGGTTGCTAGGCATTTATAATTAAACTTTTGTGGATAAAAAAGTTTTTTTTTTAATAGCTGTGAAATTAAGATGAGGCTTTCTTAAGGCATTGCAGGTGCATGAAGGCTAAAAACAGATCATTTTAGCCTGTTATTAAATGGTTGCCAGGCAACATATTAGTATCATAATATATCGTGCATAACTCTGTTTTATGTTATTGTTGGGAAATAAAAACGATGCAGTGATTTAGTGAGACGTTATAGGTTCGTAAATGCTAAGAATGCGTCATTGTTGCATGTTGCTAAGTGGTTGCTAAGCAGTGTGAGGACATCACAACATCTGATACTCACAAAAACCTTCTCCTTGGTTAGGTTTAGGGATTAGAGATCTGATCTAGATTATCATATTACAATTTAGGGGGCATCGTCAGTAGTGGACCTTGGATCCATCGGGTGTTTCGGCCATTATCACTAGACACCCTCATCCAAGGAGGCCCTGCCAGGGTTGATCAGGCCCCAGAGTGTGTCAATGGTTTATGTTAATTTTTTATTTCTTTACTACTTTCTTCTGTTTAGTTTTCTACAATTTATTTTCTTCTATCAATTTACTACAACTGAGAAGTAATACTTACCTCTTTAATATTTATGGAGCCTCACTTATTCAAAGGTATAGAAAAGATGATAAAGAGAGGACAAAAGAGACAAGATAGGAGAGAGCAGAGCAGAGAGGAGAGCTGGAAGGGGGGGGCGCCTGATCTGGCGTCCCACACCTCCCCACCGGATCGGGCTGTACACTTGACCTCCCCACTGCCTCCCAGAAAAGGGAAGAAGCAGAAGGGAGAAGAGCGGAACATTTTTCCATTTCTTTTTTCTCTTTCATTCCTCTTTTAGGTTTCACTACCATGAGGTTAACTGCACGGCTCCCAGGAGGACCTGGGGTCAACCAGCAAAATTTTTAGTGTTAGGTTTTCTACCCTTTCATCACCCTCTACTGAGGCAGGCCCACCACAGGTTGATCAATCCTGGGCGTGTGTCTCACGGTTAGCTGGCTGCCTTAGCTGCCCAAGTGATGTCAGCCCTCTTTAGCCATAGCCAGTGACTGGTCCTCTCAGCAGTGTTAGCTAGTTCTCTTATAGCCTGCTGTTGCGCCTGTCCTCTGATTCCAATTTCTCTAAGCAGTTTTGCTGTTGCACTGTCAACAAAGCCCCTGCACCCCACTTTCACTGGGCGCACCTTGATCTTGCAGCCTCTGTCCTCTGCCTCAGCTGCCAAATTGGCATACCGCAGCTTCTTACGCTCAAATACTTCCTCAATTGCATCCTCCGACAGTACCATCAGCTCAATGACGTACACAGGTTTTTGGGAGTTAGACCAAAGGATGAGGTTTGGTTGCCGAGTAGTTGTTACGATCTCCGTAGGAAACCTTTGCCTCTAATCCAAATCCACTTGCATCTGCCAATCCCTGGCGACCTTCAGCGTGCCCAGGTCTGGGATTAAAGGGCTAATCCTCGGCTTGTCCCCCTCCCGGACAAATGCTGATGAATGCTCCTCTTGGTTTGTGAAAGGTTGAGCGTTGATGGATTTTCTCTTGCACTCAACTTTCTTGGCTAAACACCTGAGGACCTGATTGTGTCTCCATGTGTATCTGCCTTGAGTAAGGCTAGTCCTAACACCAACCAAGATGTGCTTGAGTGTTGGTGGGACTGCACATAGGGTCCTTTCCAAAAAAAAAAGTCTATTAGACTCCATTCCCCAGATTTCACTCCATGTGAGTTTCCTCTTTTCCACACGCTCCCAATCCATCCAGCGACCCTGCTCGGCCTTTACATCATGGTAAAGGAAAATGGAGACACTTCACCTTCAAAGCAAAAGCTGTGCTTCAGTGCTACACCCAGCATTTTTCAAAATGTGGAACTTTTATTTTGAAGGCAAAGCGCCTCCAGTCTCCCTTCAGCTCAGAGAGCTGTCAACGGTTTCCATTCAGACTGTGACCGCAGCACTATGCTAGCAATCAAAGCAATTACAAGCAAGCTTTTTTCCAACTGGTTAGAGAATACATACTGTTCCCTAGCAGCAGGCGGTTGCCAGGGGGTCACTGACTGGTTAACAGGTCTGTGCGATTGGGACTTCAGCAATCACTTTTCTGTTAACTAGTGACTACCATCAACTTGAAGCAACCACTCAAGTGTTACAATTTTTTCCCTCCTGACCAGTGGTTGCCAGATGGTTGCGTAGGCATGTAGGCTGGAGCCTTAAGGCCCTTTCACACAGGAATAGACTATGTGCATGTTAGCATATGCTACTTCCGGTGCGGAAACTCCTGTGGGGAGCTTTGTTTCCAGTGACCTATTCGTGCCTTGTTTACGGTCCAAAACAAGTTAAGCAAATGAATGAATCAAGCAGCGATTTACATTTCTATAGATGTCTTGGGCATTTACCCAATATATCTGTAAATGATGTTCATCGACTTGTCGATATTTTTCCCCCGTGCCTCAGAGCAAAAGAGAAAAGGTATTCAAATTTTATATTTCTCAGTATCTGTAAACAGCTGTCCCTCGTTTATCGCGGGTGTTATGTTCTAAAAATAACCAGTGATAGGTGAAATCAAGTAGCCAATTTTATTTTTTGACGGTGCAAAACGTTTCGTGGACATACAGTACTGCACTTCAGAGTCACACTGCTAGCGATCGATGCAGCGATTCTGTACTGTACAGGAGAGACGTCACGGAGGAGATCGTCTGCAGCAATCAGGATGCAGGACACAATGTGATGTAAAAAAAATTAGCATGCAAACTTGCACTAAAAAATCTGCGAAACAGCGAGGTGAAAGGTGAACCACGTTATAGCGAGGGACCACTGTAATTTTGAAGGTAAGTCACAACATACCCTTCATAAATACTAATGTATAGAAACTGTTACCAGCAATCATTCATTTTTTGTGTGGCTTTTTTCACGGTTTGTTAACATGCTGTGTAGGTGTGTACTTGACTAGCTGATATCGACATAACGGGGGAAACATCTGGTTTGACTATTGTTCACCTGTAGTTTGAATGCTGAACATTTGCCTGTTTAAATCATAAGACCAGTCACTGTACAGAGATGTGCTTCTGAATGTGGACGATGTGTCTTCTGATTTTGTAATGCAGTTCTGCTTGTGTTGAGTGATGTAAACAACTGATCGATCGAAACTCCTTAAACGCCAAAATTGATCATTAGATTTTTTTATGACACAACAGTGGTGAGTGTTCCCACCTTCTGCTCTTTGTAACTTAATGCGATCTTTCCGTTTTCGAGTTTTGGACATGATTTTGGAGTATATCTTCGCAGTAGCGATTGACTGCAAAGTAAAGTTACCGGAAATGTACAACCCCACATCCGGTCTCAAACCAGGAAGTTAGCATTTTCTCGTGCACAGGGTCTATTGGCATGCGTTGTGCTGCACTATCTGTTTTTTTGTTTGTTTGTTTGTTTTGGGGGGGTTTTCTTGCTTGGGCCATGCAACAAAAGTTTCCCACTGTACCTTCGCGTGACCGTGTGGAATGACAGGAAGCGGACGCACATGGTACACATGAAGACCGTGAGGGCTGCAAAAAGTCATGGCATACAGGCAGATTGCAAGTATGCTCAATGTTGACAAGGACAATTTTCAAAGCTGTGGTCCTTACAGATGGCTACATCTAATTAAAAGTAAATATTTGACCTGATTAGCTGTGTTTGAGATCTGGAAAGCACACATGGAATGAGAGCAAGTTTTAATCAAAATGAGGTTTTTCGTTTGCTGCCTGAAAAGCTGAAGAGCATTGCACGAATAGTGTGTAAAATATTTTAGATTATGATGAGTTTAGAAAGTAGCCTTTGTTGATTCTTCTCTGACATGAACTGGGTACTGTGCCATCTGTCTGTTGGACTCACAGGGAGCATATCTGTCACTGATCCGTGCAGCACCGCGGTATGGCATATGGCACGGCACAGCTCGAAGCCAATTATATGACAGATGATTCGCTCAAATCTCTCATACACATTTGCATGCATTTCTCCTCTGAGGAATGCACCAAGATGTACAACTTCTGTACATCTCAACAAGCAAGTCCAATCTCCCCTCATCTTTCTGTCTCACTTTTGGTCTTTTTTTTCCCATCCTTATGACTTCTCCCTTCTGCCACCGTGTACATTTGTCACAGTGCTTTCACTTTATCAAAGTTTCTGCCCTTCCCTCTAAAAGTTATTACTGTTTCATTAACATACCTTCTTTCTTTGGCTCTCGGAGGAGGCGGACGCACTTTTTCTCCTCTCCCTTATCTTCCCTGCTTATGTCCTTGTCTAGTCTCGTGGTTTTTTTGTATTTTCCCTGGAACATTCTCTCACAGTCTGTTCTCTAAAACCTAAAAGAGGAATTATGGATTGAATCAACTGGTCCCTGAATGCAATTG